GCATTATATTTGCCATATTTGAAAAAAGAGAGCAATAATAGTAGAATAATAATAAATCAGGTTCTGTGTGACTGAGAAGAATAGTAAATTGAGTTTAAAGAAGGAAGGAAAGAAAATAAGGGAATAGAAATAAAGGAGACGTGAAATATGCGAATAGTTTTATAAGCGTATTTATGAACACAGAACAAGAATAAACGACTATGTATGTATCTTCAAATTAGTAACAAAAATAAAATAGCTAATAATTAAAAAAACTTATCATTGCAGTAAGATATGACGCTAGAATAAACGCTCGTGCAGTCACAGTCTAAAGTGATGCTATGAAAGTCTCAGTTAAGTGAAAAGGACAATGAAACATCACTATGTATGAGTCATATATGCACAGCGGAGATAAAACGAGTCTGAAAAGTCAATTTAGATATAATACAAGTAATTATCTTAACTACAAACTGCGTAATTTGAGGATTAATATTTATTTAGAAGGAAAAGAGAGAAACGGAGTGGACACCTAGTGAAAGGGCTCAACCATAATAATGATAGCAATCGTGTGATGAATATCAACCTCTAAAGTAGAAAATTAAAATAAAAATCCCTTAGTGCAGTCGAATAAATGTACGTAGACTTATGTAATAGTATACAGAGTGAGATCGAATAATAATATAAACATTTGTGCAATAATAATTGAGATTTATGTTATGAGAGTCACGACTAATTGCAAAGGATAATCAAATATAAATCTCTGTGTGTTATTTTTATGTGGTGATGATAAAATGAATCTGAGAAGTTAATCTATTTATGTGTACCGTGAGATAATTTGTTTTTAGTTATAGACTTCGGATGTTTAGGTATAAAATATGTTTAGAACGAATAGAAGAGATGAGAAGAATATCTAATGTGTCGAAGGACCAATAATGATATTTATAACACTAATAATTATAAATACGAACATAAGCGGACTTCATATATTAAGATTAACAGAAAGAAAATAAAGTAAAATAGACGTGAAAAGTTTCAAAGGTTACATTTTGCTTTTCAGTCAATTAGATGGATGACGGACCTTGATTGTATAAATCATTATTGAATACATTGGTATTCAACAGGTGACACAGCCCACTTTTGGAAAGAAAACCATCAAAGAGACTGCTGAACCGAGTTGCAGTTTCACTTCAACGGAGGCTCGCTGGCAGTCTGTTCCACATGGTTGAGTATCGAATAACGAAGAAGTTCTGGCGTAAGTTTGTGTGGGTTCTTGGAATCGCTAGAATATTCTCCTCATTGCATAGATTGTGGGATGATATCATGGAGTATAAAGGGGTGGATACCGAAGATTAGGAAATACCGTTAATAAGCCGGTAGATAGAGACAAGTTTTAATTTAACACTTCTGATCCAAAGAGGTTTTAATTTGAGTTCTTGACATCTTTGATGATAGTCTTTGTTGTCGGAATACCTTCACCGAACACCAGTTTTATTCAGGTCATTATAACTGCAATTACTGTAAACTGAAATACCATATTCAAGAATGGGTAAGATACATTTTCTGTACAATAATGATCTCGATTCGATGTTATTGAAGTTTATCATTATGAATCCGATGAGCTTTCTAGCTTCGGATACTTGAGATGCAATTTGCTCAGAAAAGTTCAGACTGTTGCTATATCTTGAACCCAAGTAACAAACAGCGTTGAGAGGTTTGAATGAATGTTTTTGTGTGGTCAGATTTAAGTAAAGGCAGCGGCCAATGTGAATAAATCCACTTTTGTCAACATCGAGTGTCCATTCATCTAACTTGTTTATTTCTTCTTGGATTACCGTTGACCCAAATAATCAGCCTTAATTTTTTTTACGGAAAGAATACGCTGAAAATCCCTTCAAGGTGTCTTAGTGAACAATGTTGTTACTTATTTGTTCTTTTGCACTGTTCTAGATTTTAACTTTTACCCAGGTATCTTGTACCCACGTTTTATGTGTTGAGACTTTTGTTAGGGCGTTTGTTATCTGACAATGGTTAAAGATTTACACTTATTATCGAACGTTGTCTTTGCACGTTTTCGAACCGATAACAATTAGGTCGTGTCCGACTGAACTCAAGGTTACTGCGCAGTTTGGCTGATGGTTTTCGGGGTTTGGCCGCCTGCTAGAGACGGTTACTGAAGTCCCTGCATTTAAATATTTGATCCCTTGTCGCTAGGAATGTTCTTATTATTTTTCAGGCATCGAACATTTATTTATCAAGCATTTTTGTACTGCTTAGCATGATATCTTGTGCCATGAAAATCTTTGTCTATATGGCACGGACTGTACCTTTATATGTGGTTTGTTTCCCTTCTTAATTAGAACAGCTTACATTGCATACGTTGTTTGTGTTTTGTTATATCTTAGTATTAGTCACTCAAACATGCCTTACATGTTTAGTCTGACCAAACAAACTTTGGTTTTTTAGCTGTCTTTGCATAAAATATTGGAACTTTGGTCGTTACAAACTTACTGTCTGAGATTTGATGCGTTGATGAGTATCCTAAATTTCGAGAATTTTACTGGTCCACCCAAAAAATGTTAATTTTGTTGTAGTGGTGAAGCAATCCACATTTGTAGATGAAAAATAGTTATTTTTTATTATTGTCGAGGAGCGTGAGCGGTCACCCTAGTCTATTATAAAGTCAAATAATAGCTTACGAGAAACAAATATCTAATATGTACAAGTGGATTTTTTCCGGACTCCTCAATTTCGTCATCGGAAAAAATGATGCAGTTATTTTTCAGATAGACGAAATGCATTCTGAACAATAAAATCTGAGGTTACGGTTGGTTAGAATCATCTCCCTCATCTTCATTGTTTGCTGGAAAGTAACACACCCTCCCTTCTGTTTTGATAATAATTCCTTTTAAGGCATCCATTAGATTGCAGATATGTATTGCCTCCAAACTCTGTGTTCCATACGCTATTCGTAAACACTAGTTCATCAAGTAATTTGAACAAGAATATCGCACAGTTTATGCTAGTAGACCATTGGCAGAGCACTAAATTAGTATTGCATATAAGCATACGATACAGTATGAATATTTAAACAAAATAGGATAACAGGAACAAACCAATAGGTAGAAGAGCTATGGAGTCAGTCAGTTTTGATCAGATGCATCACGAGAAAAGAGTAAGAATCGAGATTGTTCTCAATCAAGAAAAGACACTGAATGTTGATCACATAAAACCGTTATGCCCAATGTGTTCTCACAAATATAACACCGAGTATCATAGTTCACGGTCAGCAATGACTCAGTTGAACAAACATTTGACTAGTATTGGGAAATACAACTCGGCAACCCAACACTACTATGATGAATAGAAGTACTTGAGTTATCGTACTAACTAGGAATTCCCAAAATAGGCAGTTAGAACTAGATGAACACCAATGAACGTGTAGGATTATGGTATTATATGATATTAGTACGGCTGTTATAATAGACCTAGCCCTAAGACTTCAGATTTGTCGTGATATAACTGCCTAATCTATAAGATCTTACGTGGAAGTCGCATTATTATGTACACCAAGTCATTGCATAGTAGCAATCACCAATATGTGATGGTGAAGAAGCTCGGGTTATAGTGCTGAAGGCTCTCGGTCATGCATCAACACCAAATCACAGGTGAGTACGTCGTGCTTCACCCCTCCTACAACCGCCATCCCAGCTTATATTTATCACTTCTCGATCTATCGATATTCTATCAAATAGATCTCCGCAACTCTTCGCTTCTGAATTGTGATTTCACTGGGTTGGCAAGTTTGGATTATAAAAGCTGTTACTGGTTAAGGTGTTGGGAAACTCCAAATAACTGTGGTATCTTTAGTCAAATAATTGGATGAGTTCATTCATGGCCTGCCAAATTAATGTAGTTTTTCGTGCCAAATACAAAGTCACCCATTATTCGCAGTAAACGGTTGAGACAAGCAAGCAACGTTTATCAGTTTGGGATGCAGACAGTCAGCTAAAAATTTTAAAAATATTCGGCAAATGCTATTTCTCTGTATTTGCAACCAAATTCAAATGAGGTCATGTAAATCGGTAATTTGATTTAGTTATGTACCGTGTTCGTTACTCGCTGAAGCATATAAATCATAGTGTATGTAGTGCGAATTAACACAGAGTATTGAATCACCATTTACATCATATGATGATCAAGTTTTAAACCTGAGTGTATGCAAAGGATAGCATACAAAAGTCCAATACACTAATTTCTGAGATTCTTATACCACCTAATGATATCAAAATAATGGGTCAGCACTAACCATGGTTTGTAGCAATAACCGTAAGTCGCTGATACCTGTGCACAAGTTGTGCTAATAGCGTTTATGACGGGCAGTGATAAGTTGTGTACTTTCATGCTATCTAAAGTTGCTTAATCAACTCCCATTAACGGAAAACTTGATATTTTCAGGTCTCAACACAGCACATAATGATGTGTATCTATTATTCCCGCATAATTAGGTTCTCGAAATCTGAACTTCATTGGTGCATGATATCAAAGCATTCCATTTTCGTCACAAAATTACTTAAAATGCGAAAATATTTTCTCCGTGACTGACTTCATTACTGACCAAGTGGTTTCAAATTTCCAAGATATGAGGCAATTATTATATATTTCCATATCAAAGAAAATCTAAACGACCCCAGAGACAAACGCCTTAGGGTTGATGTCTTGTTTGTTTATTTCAATAAATGCAAAGTAGCGCCTTTTCAAGTTCTGTTTTTGTTTTCGAATATCTTTTAACTTGTATATAGGTAAAGAGACAAACAAGAAGTGTGGTGTTTTCAGACATTTGCACATAAAGTTTTTGTGGAAGAAAGTATACAAATGTTATCAAACAGCTCCATAGCTGAAGAGAAAGCTTTAACTATATGAAGATGAGAACAATCGTTTAGGGTTGATAAAGATTTTTAAAATGAGTAAAAATCTTTATGTAAGAATTATTCGGTTTTCCACGAACTGTTATCAATGTTAATGCAAAAGTGAGCTTCGCACTAAAGTCAATTCAATCTTCCTATTTTGGGGATAATTTCGTCAGTTTTGTGCAAATTTTAGGGAAGCCACAATAGAAAACTTCGAGGAAATGACATAAAACCTCCGAAATTCTACCAGGTTTGTGGAACACACTTTAAAGAAAATTTCCATACTCCCTACGACTTCGAGGAAAACATCTAAGTTCTCCAAAGGTTCCCCAAGATAAGGAGATTAAGCGTATATTTCGTCCATATACTTTACTTCTGCTGAAATACTTAATTAGAAATAATTCGTACTTTGTTTCCTATTAGATGGTATTTTGCTTTCTAACTCACAACAACGCACGATTTAAGAAACAAGTATGTTAACCCAACCAATTCTTTACTTCCTTAGTGGTTAATCGTTCGTAAAAATATTAAGATTTATTTAACGTGTAGAAATTTAAAGTAAAATTGTGATGGTAGTTCGCAGTCAAAATGAGAGACATTTCTTGACTCATAAGAAATACCCGGCAGTTTAATGAAGTTAAATGGGGAAGTTAGGAGTAAAACCATCAAACGTGTACCTAGTTTTTACTTATGAGTCGCTTCTGAGTTCAGTATTTGTTGTGCAGAAATAATAAACTCAGTCTTGTTCGAAGCTTTTTACTAGCTTACGACATTTAGCATTTGATTTGGTTACATGATGTCATGTCAATAAGGAACGCTATACAAACTTTTAGATGAGTGTCCCTTAAGAATCGCTGTGTACATGTGATCCTTTTTAAGAAAACATTTTGATTTATTTCCTCCGTCTGTTTACAAGGACACTCAATTGAAGGTGAATGAAATTTACATCTATTAAGGTTATTCACTGTGGCACATTTCACTGCTTGATCAGTCAACACATTAATTAACAAGTTTTTCAAACGCTCAAATTTGATTTAACCCAGAAAAAGTATATCCTTTGGCTTGTAAATAGGTTTTGTAAGTTTAAAGCTGTCGGTATACGGTTTTGTGAATACTCGTCAAAATTTAAACGAACGCTTTAACATAATTTTGACATCAAATTTACAGTTGGTATCAGATGTAAAAGTTATATTTGAAAAACTCTCAGAGATTAAAATTTAAATGCTTTGACTATCATTCTAGACACAGGATGTTTAGGAAAATTGTCAAAATTATCGAAGATAGATTAACTTTGAGTCAAGTTTGCATCAAAATGGGCTCTTTTGTGCATAATAGGAATATTGCTCATTTGATATGAATTTTGTTCAGAATGCAACATTTTTAGGCGTATGTATATATACGTACTGTTTTGTTGATGAGTTAGTGAGTCCCTTGGACATGCTAATCGTTTTGCTTGTTAAAAAACCAACATTATACATAAATAAATCGCTCTTATTGAGTAATATTTTAATGGAAACAGTAAGTTTTGATGTCAATTTTATAATAAGCCAGGATTAATTTGATAACAGAATTGATTAAACAGTCAATTAAGTGTTCTTATTTGTGTAAGCTAAGTGAAAGGCCCTATAAATGCGAGCAGATGTTTAGTATCTTGGTTCATCTGTAAACCAACAGTCGCCATAGTTTAGCCAAGTGTTTTTCATCGCTTTTATCCTGACTGTTTTGACTGACTTATATTTATAAAGCTCCATCTGTTAATCTTTCTTTTTGAGCATTAAAACCGAGTGTTTATTTAAAGCACGTCAACTTAGCTTATTTTTCACGTAAATTATGTGTATGTGTTAAGTAGATTTTCGAACATCCCTAAAATTAGTTTGAATATGTTTAGTGAAATTATCATCTCATATTGTGATATTATAATTTTTTGTTGTTATTGATGTTTTTAGGTTCCTCTTACATTGGTTATCTGTTGATATTCAGGAATACACTTACTTTCAATATAAACAACATCTAACGTATACTTCATAGCATTAATAAATGTTCTTATCACGACTAGAGCAAATTTACCTTAGGCGTTCTAATAATCCAAGCTCTAGAAAAGGACTTGCGTCTCTGCGATGCGCAAGAACATATTCCGTTGCGATGGATCCTGAATGGATGGAACTGGCTAAGAAGGAATTGAAAGGCAAGGATCCAGAAACTCTGGTGCATGAAAACTATGAGGTGCGACAGCTTTTACATTTTAAATCTGTAATCTTCTAGGGTATCAACTATAAACCACTTTATTCAAATGAAGATATAGCTGGACTAGTGAAAGAGGTTCCGGGAAAATTCCCATTTACTCGAGGTCCGTATGCTACTATGTATACTCAGAAACCTTGGACTATCAGACAAGTAACATTTTTAATTTTTCATATAATCGTCTATACAAGTATGCAGGATTTTCAACTGTGGAAGAAAGCAATAAATTCTATAAAGATAACATTAAGGCTGGGGTTCAAGGTCTTAGTGTTGCCTTTGATTTAGCTACACATAGAGGTTTGTTGGCTCACACTATATGATGGGTTTTCCCCGAAGGTTATGATTCAGATAATCCTCGTGTGCATGGTGATGTTGGCATGGCAGGTGTTGCTATTGATACCGTCAATGATATGGTTAGATTATTCGATGGCATTCCTTTAAACAAGATTAGTACGTCAATGACTATGAATGGTGCTGTGCTTCCTGTATTGGCTTTTTTCATTGTTGCAGCAGAAGAACAAGTAATTTATGTTGTTTTGTTTTATGTTTACCCTTTGAACTATCTTGTATTATATTGCACTTATTGACGCTTGTATAAATAAAGCAAAACTGCGACATATCTTTACCCCTTGGTTCATGAATACTTTGGGCCGTCTAATATAAATCAATCATTTATGTACACATCAACTAAATTCGTATAACACTGCTGACTTCAATGATCTGAGTTCAGTTAATTTTTACAGTAAAGTTTACGTAGATGTAATATTGCACCTAGAACACTTAATTTTTGTGAAGATTCTTGATAAAACAGTACATTTAATAAATGTAACCCAACAAACAAGCATAGACTCATACCAAACTTGATCAACACATTATTTGTGAAGGATATGGATTTTACTGATTGTCCAAACCGAAGTTAGTGATCTAGATTGTAACCAGCAGTCCAGTGAGTGAAAGCCATAAATTACCCACTGATCAATCAATCCTAACTCCAGGTGGTTATGAGACTAAGTCAATGCAATTCGTTTAAGCACAATAAAAAAAACAAGAGAAGCTAATTTACAATGATCATAACATTACTGACAGTCGTGGGAAACTGAAAATTTCAGGAATGATTAGGAAAAATTATTAGACCAGTGATTGTATTGCAAAATTATACTATGGTTGAAACTTAGATTAAGCTAAATAATATTTTAGTCGATTTCATAGTTATATCACTGTTATGACCTATTATTCTCTACACGATTCAAAAATATCAAAGCAGTATTTAATAAAAACCTAACGCAATTAGTTAAAGCACGCGATTACCCTTCTATATTGTGTACCTAATATTATTGGTGCAATTCTCAACTATGAAAAAGAAAAAAGGAAGATTAGCCTGGTTTGTGACTACAAAAACCTATTTTGAGGAAAAATACCGCTCTATATGAACTGATTTTCTCTTCAGCTATCGTTGTTTACAATTAAACACTTATAACTTAGACGAATTTCATACTGAAAAGTACCAAAACTCAGTGAGGACAATGGAGCTTACCAGAATACAATATAACGACATACTGAAATAATTAATTACTGGAGTCGTTAAAATATAGTCAACTTAAAACTAAACGATTATGATGTTTAATCGATCAATAATCGTTTTTTTATCACTCCCTATCAATCATCTAACTTCGAACTCATCCACACTTATGTCAAATCTTATGCTGGTTATGCTTAACTGACTGACATATAACTTAAAACTTACGATCAATTGCGATTATTCCAGCCTTTCTACGCAACACAGACATACAATCAATGCCATCACAGACTGATGGTATTCCTTGATGCGATCACTCATAATCTTATTTGAACTCGCCTGTGGGGAGTCTGCTGGGTATAATCAATCTATATTCCGACCTTTTGAGTCGATGAAGGTTTACAATCTTACCGGCTTTTTACGTGGACCTAGTACTCCACGCTCAACACAGGGCGAACTTCTGCTACTTATATTAAATTTTTTAGAGGCAGAGGGATATCTCGATTTCGCTATCATTGAATGAAGTCAATAAAATATAAATAAGGATCTATCTTCTGTTCAACCAGCTCGTCAATCATCAGTCTACCAGGACTAACAACATCCCAAAGACAAGTGGTGTAATATGCGGGTTTAGTTACTTAATTTTCCATTGTAAAGCTATAGAAAAATGCAAATTTATCGAGTTTATTTCAATGGTTCGTACAGTCTCTCGGCGTATTCGAAAGACTGCATTTTGCAAGCGCTTCTGCTAGACGATTTCATGTTTTCCACATATTATTTATCAAAAAGATATTTCCTGTGTAAGAGATCAATTCCTGAAGTCAGACAAGAAAATCCATACTTAATTCATATCCTTAAAAAAACTGAATAGTGATGGGGAAAGTTGACAAACTGAACAAACACCATCTTAAATAATCATTCACTGTAATATCTAATCACATAACACAACTAATTCAAATGATTTCACGCTCAGCTTCCAAACTCTAGTTGATATATTAGTTGTCCCAATTTATAATTTCTAAACCACCTTAATGGTTAGTCCATGTAAACTTTTTGCTGTCACTTTAAGTTTAGCATAACCTTCTTTACCATGCTTAGAGTTGGTGTTCTATTATCAATTCATTGTGCAGGATGCTGATGAAAATTAATTGTTAGTTATTTATGAAGTTGACTAAAATATTTTGCTCATTACTAAGGCCATGTATTTAATGAAAGAATCATTGTTCCCCTTAGCCTAGCATAACTAATAGATTGTTATAATCACTTGCTACGTTGAATACATCTGAGCTCTTAGCTCTTTGAAAGAGACTACATAACCTACTTCTTGAACTTAGGGTCAATAACCATGAAGTCTCAACTACTAACATCATTTCAGCTGGGTGGTCTGAATTATTAAAATTGATACATCTTCACTCTTCATTACTGTAAGAGTAGACGGATTAAGGCTAGCAGTGGAATCAAGATCGCATATTTTGTCCAATTTGGGACAAGTCATCTAAATGTACTTTTAACCCAGTGTTAATATTTGCATTTTAACCTGTACCAAGTAGCTTTCACTTCAAACGCCGACGCATTATTTATGGTGGTATAAAGTTATCCATTGAACAAGTCAGTGGCTATTTGAACTTAGTAACTCAGTAGATAATAGGTTGGAGTTTGAAACAAAAGGTACTTGGATTTGGATCGCAATATAAAATTTAATAGTGGGATTCATGTATATCCATCTGAAAAGTTGCAAATAGGGAGAAACATGCTTCCTGTCGGCCACAATCCGTCAATCCCAAAAAAATTTACAACAAAATGGCTATATTGTGGCAATTCTCACGAGATGCACTTATCTAGACGAAGATTGATAATATTTCAGTATCAACAACGGGATAATTTAATCGCTCATTATTAGTGATATCTACCGTAAGACCTCTTTTCTACGCGTTGTAATAATCAAGAGTATAAAATCTTAACGTATTTAGACTGAATAGCAATGTACTAATCATAAACATTTTCGTTATCTTTTGTTTTTAATTCATTCTACCTTTTTGATTATATTAGAGGGAAACTAGTTAAATTAACAACAGTTCCTAATAGTAATTTAACGTTACAAAAAGATTTTGTTTTTATTGATGTGGATGTCCCCATAAAATTTCTTAAATTTGTATCAGTAATTTTTAGTAATTATGAATTACTGCTAGTAACGCAGTCTAGGATGCGCTTTTCATCGTATCTGATACTCGTTAGTTGAATACATCTGCCACATTCCGGTATTGATATTCACGTCGGGACTCAAAATTAATGTCTTTTGCTTGAAATATCAATTAGTAATTAACAATAACATAAAAGTGATCTGCTTAGAATGCGCATATACCAACAGCAACTAAGCATATATATATAGATATATCAGTAAACGATTTTTATTTTTGGTAAAACCATTATTCTTATTATCTCTTTATAGGGTGCGAAACAATCGGAATTAGCGGGAACTATTCAAAATGATATATTGAAAGAATTTATGGTTAGAAATACATATATTTTTCCACCGAAACCATCAATGAGAATTATTAGTGATATATTTGCTTATACAGCCAAAGTAAGCATGCATTCATTCTCCATTTTAATCTATTTCATCTCTTATTTTCTTATAATATATTGCGAAAAGTTTTCAATGATCTTTCTTACGATTTCTTATATATATATATATATATATATATATATATATATATATATATATATATATATTCTCTTATGGGCCATATATGCAACTGACCTACATGTTTAGGACATTATTAATCCAGAAAGTTTTAAAAATTACTTTCTGAAGTATTTAAAGAAAATAGGATTGTTTGATGCTCAGCATCATTTATGGCACTAATGGAATGCTTAAATGCCAATCAAACATTATGTTTCACTTTTTTTACAATTATGATGGATAATGTAACTGATTTGGAAGTATTCTCACAGTGTGTTACTTGTTTATGAGGATAACAGCTGAATAAGAGATCTTAAGGTTAGATTGTACATGTAGTCATTGGAAATGACTAATTAGCTATTCATAGCTGATTCTTGTAAATGTCGGTGATAAATCTTCTGACTGAACACTTGAATCGGTTTACTAAGCTCTTCTAATAACACGACAACGTGAACACAAGAGAAAAGGCGCGTAATATGAAAAGAATGCTTTACACCAAGGTTAGTTAATGTACAGAAAATCTAGGGTATTTATAGTATTTCAGATGGCCTTGGGCTTATGGAAAGTTCTGGAACCCTGCTAAACATAGTAGCAGGATAATTAATCGTCCAATCAAAAATGTGGCATATAACTTCACTTTCCAGATGGTTCTGAGAAGCTTCTATTCGGCGCCGATTGAATAAGATGTTTCTCGAAGTTTCCAGGGCCCTTTTGGTCTTTTTTCGAATTTTTTGGGTCTCAACAGCTGGTAAATAGATATCAGAACCAATAAATTTTGAAAATCAAATATCTTTATTTAATCATCTTCATTAAAACCAATATATCAAGTTTTGACTAATATATTTTAAGAAGGGTAAGGGTCCAAATTGAGGTTATATATTCATAAAATAACTGATTAACTAATCAATCTCATGAAATAACATGTTTATCAATTATCTCTTTTGTTTTTTTGCTTTTGTTTTTACTCTTAATCAACTCTCATATTATTCATAGAATATGCCCAAATTTAATTCAATCTCCATTTCCGGCTATCATATGCAAGAAGCCGGTGCAAGCGCTGTCTTAGAAATGGCTTATACTATCGCTGATGGTATTGACTATTGCCGATTAGGTGTTAATCATGCTGGTTTAAATATCGATGCTTTTGCTCCACGTCTGTCATTCTTCTGGGGTATTGGAATGAATTTTCATATGGTTAGTTATTAGTTGTATAACTAAATAATAGACAAACCTTCGTTTGTTTTCTCCCACTGTTGGCCGAATCAGTATGTTTTTCTTTCAATTGGTCCATTTTTTTCTACATATTTCATGTAGCTTGACCATTGCCCTAAAAATAAATGTAGACATGTTAATATGAGGAGTCTGAAACTAGAACGTGAATTCAAATTCAATCTATTCTTACTTTTAACTTGTGTTTTTAGCATAAATAATTAAAGGCAAACAGAAATTACGGTTCTTGTAAGCTTATGCATGTTGCATTTATTGGTTAAGACATATACCCATCTGTTGAGATCACGAACAGATTAAAGTTAGGGATTAATTGAAAACGAGAAAGCACTAAATAACTACTGATTTATCATATGTTTACTAGTGACTAATTTCGAGAAGTAATTGCCAGAAATCTGGTGAGAAACCATTACCGGTAGAGTTTGACCATTTCAGGTGTGAGACAGCTGCCCACCAAACTCATTCAAAGATGTTTGCACAAAATTAGAAACTGATTGAAATTAAAGATGTAAATCATTGGGCGGTGACTCAGTAGTCTAAATTTTAAGCTATCACCATGTGACCTGGATGTTTTAGACTCGACCACCAACGGGTCGATGAACGCCCGCTGCTAGGTAGTCTCATTATAAGACAAAGCACGTTTCCATTGCTTCCTGGCTTTTAGTAATTTTCTAGTTTAGGTTGCTTCGTGAGCTGAAAAAGCATTAAATGAGCTTGACAAACCTACATGTTGATATGCTCATCTAACTGACCAAACCTCACTAAGAGAGTGAAACTGTGTTTGAAACACTGACTTATTACTAAAAGTTTGATTTAAATACTTGAATAAACATATTTAACATAATCTACGTTACTTTCTAAAGTCTACAATGACCGTACTTCTGTAAACAATGCTGCTTACTAGGCCAACTCTATTGCGGAAGTGTTAAGATTGTGATGACTTTAAATGCTCTACGTATTTAAAGTTATTCGTCTAAATAGATTAAAAACATCTGCGAATTTATGTAGCTTTAATGATTTGTCTTACTTCACTGGAAAATCATAATTATCTCTGTATTGATCAGAGTCATTTCTTACTTACTAACTTACGTATTGGAAATTCTTAGATGGAACTTTTGCATCATCTTACATTAAAGTGTAACTAATGCATCCGTGTCCGTTCATTACGTCATCGGCTATATTTGTTGTTGATTTAATTACAAATAAAAATATTTCGTCATTGATAGTAAATATGTAAAAATGGGTGCATCCATAAACATGACACTAGTTTGAACGTCATCATTCAATGTCTCAAATCCAGTAGTTTCAGTTGTTTCGCAGATATCATCTACATAATCTATAATTTCTGTATATACTATTCATACCAACTCTTGGAAATTTTCTGAATTAAGATGAATCAGTCAAAAAGAATTTTGTTTTCAATGTAGTTATAGTTTTATAGCCAATGTAAAATAAACAAATATACATCTAAAAAAGGTTGGAAAATGTTTCCAAGCATTGAAAGACTCACGTCATAACTCAAAGGATAATAAAAAATAACCAGCTGAAAATAGGTTATGGATGAGAAATAATTGTTTACTTGATTAATGTTAAGAAAAAGTTTCTGTGGGTATGGAGAGACCATCAGTTATGAACTGATAACATATTAAGAATAGTGAATTATACAACAGTAGTAAGTGAGTTATTCAATAACATGATAAAAGTAATATATATATATATATATATATATATATATATATATATTAATAGTTGAGATCATGAGTCAATTGAAGCCAGACCACCATGGAAAACCTGGGAGCACTGAACGACCGTTTCGTCCTATTATGTGCATCCGCAGCATTGCTGAGGAGTCCCGTAATGGGACGAAACAGCCGTCCAGTGCTCCCAGGTTTTCAATGGCGGTCTAAGATTCATCGATCCATAATCTCAACCAAAAGCTCAGCAGTCTCCACAACCCCCTACTGATAATTCGTTTTTAAACAGAAATTTACAAGATCAATATAGCTTACTGAGCAGTTTTACCGTAGATAAGAAGTATTTCATGAATATCTATATTTAAATATTTATAATTTTCCTGTTAGTGAATGTAACTGAATTAAACACTTTCTATGATATAATTCTCTCATATTACTATCGTGTGATAAAAATTGCTGTATTCACTGACCATATGTTTGATTACTACGAGCAAAATGTACCCAACATTCCAACAAATTCTTCTTTCTTATTATTAATAATGATGCTTAACAAGTTTTTAACAATAATTGCCGTTTATCTTCATCTACAAACGTTTTCAATCAGTTCCGCTCCTATGAGAGTTTTTTCCCATAGCAGAATATATTCCACGCGTGAATTCCAATGTAATTGGCTTCTATTTCTCCAAAAGGCAAACTCTGAAGTTTTTTCAGTAGTTAAATACGTAATGTATGACAACAAGATTTTTGTATTTTTTGTTCAGATGAAATTAAACTTTAGTTTATAACACGAAGAAGGTGAAAATACACGTAAAAGTGGAGTCAAATCTTAATTCCTATTATTATTATCATCATCACCAGAAGTTCAAAATGGTAATTATATTACATTTTAATTCTCTTGGTAGTTTATCATATATTTTGTCCATATAACTATTCCTGTAATGAATTTCCTTTCTTTCTTTCCCTAACTACCTACCCTTTCTGATATATTTTATGGGCTGAAAAATATCACACGTAATATTTTAGGAGATTGCTAAAATGAGAGCCGCACGACGAGTTTGGGCGAAATTAATAAAGGAGAAATTTCAAGCGAAATCACCTAAATCTTTGCTACTTCGTGCTCATTGTCAAACCTCTGGATGGTCATTAACAGAACAGGTCAGTTTTTTTATTGTTGTCGTTGTTTTCGTCTCGAGATTTAGGTGGAGGTGCGGTATTCATCAGTATGATATGTAAATTATGTTACAGGAACAATGCCGTAGTACTGGAATTAACGGATAGAGGCTACGTTTAAGTAGAAAGAACAAGCACAGGTGATAATACATTCGACATCGTCTTGATACTGATCAGCAGTCAGACTGATTTTGCCTATTGTTTCAATGATGATAGTTTTTAGGATTTATATTGTCCATCAGCCTTAAAACTAACTAATAAAACTTGAAGATTTATGTAAATATTTCTAAAATTTAGTAGCGTGGCCACTGAATCAAGACAAAGCGTCATTCCTTGAGAACCTTGAGTGTTAGATTGACCCATGTAGGTACAGACAGATTATCCGGTTATGGAACTCACAATAAGATGAATCGATGGCTAGATACTTTAAGTGACATGACTCAGAATTAGTCACAAAGTGTCAGATGTATTCACTTTTATTTTAACTTAGATTTTCAGTTCCAGAATTTCTCCACACATACCTTCTCATTCTGTGTCCTTGAACTACTTTCTCAATGTTTGATCTATCCTATTATCATTTATACTATATTATACCGGCTCTTTTGCTAATCATTGTGTTAATTTCATCTCGCCATCCCTATGTGATGTGTGATCTTGAACTAATCTATATATATTCCAGGCTATGCGTTGATTATGACCGTCGAAATGAGTGTGGTATTTTTACATGAATATTTTCTTTCTTTTCCATGTTTTTTTTCATTATTTCTTTTATATTTTTAGGATCCGTACAATAATATTATTCGTACTACTATCGAAGCAATGGCTGCTGTATTCGGTGGATGTCAATCATTGCATACAAATTCATTTGATGAAGCACTTGGACTGCCAACAAAATTTTCTGCACGTATTGCTCGTAATACACAAATTATTATTCAAGAGGAAACAATGGTTACTAAAGTTGCTGATCCATGGGCTGGTTCATTTATGATGGAAAAGTTGACAGCAGAATTAGAAGCAGCTGCTTTAAAAGAAATTGAAGAAGTGATTTTTCTAATTAATTTTCTTAGAAAAGTTTTTTAATACTAACCTTTTTGCCATTTACATCATGAGCTTACTCTAGTTAGGCACTCATTGGAAACCTGAAAATATCAGACAGTTATTCTGTCCTAGTGTGGGTTTCCTCAACGTGATCCCACTGGCGATCGAATCCAAAACTTTGAGATTTAGACTTGAGTTCTTCATTTTATGACCACTGATACAGTATCAGTGATATATCACAACCATCTTCTAATTTCACTGGTGGATTAATGTTTTACATTCGATGTGGCTGAAATCCACTGGTCGTGGTGTTTTGTTAGCACCATGGGAAATTATCACTGAAAACTTATCTTTATTAATGGTATAATTATTGTCATTTATTACTCTAAGGATTTGTGGAGACTGTTGGATTCCATAATTTACATCACGAACTGAGTGTAGTTAGACGATAACATGTTCCCAACAACAATCAACCTATTATTATTATCTTAGTCATTACCGAATGTTAATTTTACATTTTTACTTCTTCATAGATTGAACATATGGGTGGAATGGCTAAAGCTATTGAATCCGGTATTCCAAAATTACGTATTGAAGAGTGTGCAGCTAAACGACAAGCGGCTATCGATTCCTGTCAAGGTTATTACTTATTTTTATTTATTATTTCTATAATGACTAATGTAATTCTAACTGATCCGTTTTTCATATAAGATCATTTCTTTTAAATCTCAAATTCATGTTTTTAAAGAGGAAACTTCTGAACGACTGTATTTATATGTGTATGTATTATTGACGAACCTATACCTGTTATATACAAGTTACTTATTCAGTCATAAGTAGCATAGAACCTTGGACATATTTGTATCGGTTCAAGTTGTCACATTATATCAACACAAGTCCAACAGTATTAGAACTAATAACAAAATCAGTAGTAGTAGAAACTAATCAACAATAGTCAATATCATTTGAGAAAAAAGAATAAGTTCATGGAGTAAAAACCATAAGAGTATTTTCAAACTCAAGGTATAAAGGAAAATGAGTCGCAGTTTAAAAACCCCCATAGAATATTCAAAAATGTAAAATATTTGACCGAACAATTGTTTTCAATAACTTTATCATCAGGCTCTACAGTTATAAGTCCATAATTATGATATTTTACTAAAGCCAAAATAAGGCAAGTGTTAATGAATTCGACAATGTTATATTAAAAATGGTGAATGTTTGCATCTGTTACAATATATATACTTCAAAATTGTATTATACGCAAATTAGAAACGTCAGAATGATTTGAAGTAAAGTATCCAGTCACAATAAGTAGAATAGTATTATAAGAAAAAGGAAAATTATGAGAAGGGGTTTTGTGGAGATTTTAGAAATTTCGCTGATTGAAATCATGAGTCAATTGAAGCTAGACAACCATGGAAAACCTGGAAGCACTGGACGGCCGTTTCACCCTAGTATGGGACTCCTCAGCAGTGTGCATCCACGATCCCGCACCCCGCGAGGTTCTAACCCAGGACCTATGAGTCTCGCGCCAGACGCTTAACCAACTAGACCACTGAGCCGGCATCCAATGGTGTTAATGTCTAACTTCAACCAATCCACATAGTTGCGCCACCGTACACCATTATCCAGTGAGGGCTTTATCCTTGCGTGTTCGTAAACATGTACCAGCATGGTTGGGAAAAGGAGTTACTAAATTGATTAACAGAACCATTCTTTCTCACTTGGTAGATGCTGAACATCATATCAAAATAGAGGAAGCTTTCTCTGTTTTATATCAAGTTCCAAAATAGCTACCTCAAGGAGCTAGATTACAATTGCTGTGGATCAACTCCAGAAAACCAAATTTATGTATCCAGAAAAAGTATATCCAGCCTTTATGTTTACCTTGGCCCACGACTGGATCACCGGATACCTAAACTAAATATTACAAACATCTTACCTCCTCTTTTTTATTACTTCTATCTTAATCTTCACATCCATCATTCCCAATTTGTCTATCGTAATTACTTTGATACCCCCCCCCTTATTACATATTATACTCACACAACAATATTATTATTATTATCGATTTGCTAGAGAAGAAATGAGCGAATTCATCATATACTTATGACACGTACAATTATTTCTTGTTTTTTATTTTATTAGTAACCTCATTTTATGTTCCTCATACATTTTGTTAAACTCGGGACAGTTATTAAAGTATATACATAATTTTTATGACCTACCAATACTACTGTCTTATATTGCATTTACTTGAACATTCAGTCGAATACTGAACAGTAATGTATTCAGTGTTTGTTTATCAGTTTGTTTAGACATTTATACTTGTTCTCTTCAAGTTTTGAATTCTATTCGGTTATGGCTGAAGTAAATTCTTATGTAAAACGTTATATCTGATTATTTGATATCACGTTATGATTAGTAATCGATATAAAAGTGGGCTTAGTTCAAGAATGTATACGAATTTATTCAACATCTCATATACAATTGAAGTCAGTTTGTTTTCAGAAAAGTATTTGACTCCTTCTTTCTTTCCATTTCTTTTTTAAAATCTTTTCTGCTCTTTGCTCTTTTAACCTCAGAACATAGTCTGGAAAAAGATTTTGATGTGGAGGAATATTTTGACAACTGACAAATAAATGAAAAGATGAGGTAGAATTATGCAGACTAGCGCATATACTTCACACTTTAATAATCTTACATCATAATTCAAATTATTTGTGAAGTACGAATTTTTGTACTTGTCTTTGAATCATTCGATTTATTTGTAGTATAGCTGTAACATAGCCATTTAAATTATAGTAGATGGTGCTAGCTGGTAGTTAAGATGTATGACCTAATGGATGAAGATCATCAATCTGTTGGAGAAGTAGAACTTTTAAATTTATATGAATATATGAATATTTTTACTACACATTTATTCAGTACCTAGTTTATTATATTTTTATGTTGTTATAATTGTAAGCCTTCGTTTCGCTTACTAACTATTGATATGTATATATAAGCGGTTTCAATTAATTATACGCCTATTGCTCAGTTTTATATCACATATGACCTAGTTATGTATAAATTGTTGTGTTTTTTTCTAAATGATGCGTTATAGTCATGTAATCGTTGTGTAATCTTATGAGTTTTCGACTCGGGACGACAATATAGTAGTAGAGAGTTAATCATCTTGGTGTTTTGCTGTTCTGACTGACTAATGAGTATAAAAGGAGCTGTATGGACTAATAGGAATTAATATTTCTAGTGGTTATCACGAATAATTTATAAAGTAAATTTTATACAATTAAATTGATTCTACAGGGTTCTAATAAACCGTTTCATTCAAATGTATATAATTTGGGGATGATTTATAGGACATTATCAAAATGAAACTATTTTTAGGGTATACAATAATGAACTTTAGTTATTTATTATTTGATGTTAATTCATATGAACAAATAAATTCCAAATTGTAATTGTTTAGTGGACAAAAACAAAACAGGTTTTCAACCAGTAATCAATAATAGAGACAGCTATATTGATATTGGTTCAATTTATTGATCTATATAAGTAATAAAAAGATAAACAACTACAAGGTTAAATTTCGTTTTTGGAAAAACAATTGGTTCACTTCTGTGTTTTACTGTATATTCAGTGATTTACTCTACAGAAAAATTGTCGATTATATCATAATTTATCATTAGAAATAGTTTTGTCGAATTTGTTACAGCTCATTTCTTATTAGTGATGTTCTCTAATAGCCGTGTGGAGTAGTGGCTCTGGGTTTAGAGAATTCAGCCTTCAGCTATTACTTCCCAGGTTTGAGCTCCGTATCAGTGACCTAAAGGTTAAGTGCTCATTGTGAGACCACGACGTGCAATGCTATCCGGTAGTGGAGATGATTGGAAGAAAGTTAGGGGCGGCCAAACCAAAACGTGGCATCAGTGCTTGAAGACACTAACTTCTAGTCTGAGCCATGTTGGTAGATGCAGACTACTTGGTTGGGGTCCGCGTGACTTTCGTAACCAATGGTTGGAGACTCTTGGTGACATGGCTCAGAATCGACCACAATGGGGTCGGTGTATACACTCCCTGTCTTCCCTTAAACTAAGAGATTAAAATCACTTCATATCTTTCTTTCTACGAACCAATTCTTTCTTCCTGTACTATATCTCTATATGCAATCTTTCTCTTATATGTTACCACCTTTGACCTAACCACTGCTATGAATCCGGTGTTTATCTCGTTGTGCTGATGCGGTATGGCAACCTGGACCGATGCACATATGTGCCTGGTCCTACGTTGTAGCTGACTGACTGACTGACATTGTGAGACCATAGGTTGCGAGTTCAATTTTCGATTGGGTGGTGGTTGGATACTGCTGTAGAGTCCAAAACAGCTTTCCAATGCTTCCTAGTTTTCAATGGTTGTCTAACTTAAATTGATTCGTAATATCGATAGCATTCTGCAATCTCTACAAACCTCTGTACTGATAAGATTTATTATTTCGATAATTCCTTCATCCTGTTTTATATCATATTTCAGTATTGCGAATAGTAACTATATTTTGCATATTTTCGACCTTTCTTTCTTTTAATCATCACAGAGGTTATTGTTGGTGTGAATAAATATAGATTGGAGAAAGAAGAACGTGTAGATGTACTCGTAGTAGACAATACTAAAGTTCGTGAATCCCAAATTGCAAAACTTAAAAAAGTTCGCGCTGAACGTGATCAATCGAAAGTAAGTTAAACAGTTGTTTAAGATTTCAAACCCTTTCAACACTGTCTGTCATTAACCACATTTAACTTCAACTCCTGTTAAAAGTTTGTGAATAGTTTCCACTTCCTGGTTTTCACGCTATAGATCGATTCTTCTTAAAGAATCTGAAACAGAAAACTGAGTTAGGGATGGTCTTGACGATCTGGGAGCGTGATCTTTTGGCTTATAGGACAACTGCTTGATACTGGTCATTCGAGACCTTTGTGTGAGTAGCTTTAGATTTGCTAGCTATGTACTTTTTGGACGTTACCGCTGGTGAAAGAAATCTATGGGCCAATGTGAGGTGTGTTATTTTCAGGGTTGACATTTCGTAACCTCTTTCTTTCCTTTTGAGGTAGCAGCATCGCAACATGCTATCGAAAATCCAAAGCGAGGGAGAGCAGCAGGGCCTAATGTATTATTCTCATCTTACTGGTTTCGATAGCTGATCGTTCCAGTTTATAAGAAAGCACAAAAATCTTCATATGATAATCATAGTGGAATCAGTTTGACGAATGTAATGTCTAAAACATTAGCTTCAATAATACTTTGACGTACAACTAGAGCTCGTAAAGAAAAAACCTGTGAATACCAGTTTAATTTTAGACCTAGAATGTGAAGTATTGTTGCGTATCTAACACTTCACTTATCTTCAGAGTCTCATCACTCATGATGGTCTGGTGTCTGATCAAATCTAGACACGGATTCACAAAGATCGATTGACTTTTGTTTACTTGAATCACTTGTTGCATGAACGACAGATCCATCTTCCAATCAAACGACCAATTTACCATGCAGCATTTCACTCCATCCTACTTCATGTGTGTGAAACATGTTCGTTGAGAATAGAGGATATTCGTAGTTTACTTGTATTCGACCACAAGTGTTTTCGAATCATGTCTCGTGTATTTTGAGATCACTGAGTAAGGGGTGGTTGGGTTGGTGATAGGATACTAGATAAGTATGGTAGTGCGATTGATGAGGTAGTAAATCTTTATCAGATGGTATTGTTGGGACACGTGTTGCATACTCCCAACCATCAATAACCTCGACGGACGATGTTGTTTAGTGTAAGAGTAAGTTTGAAGGAAGCTATGGACAAGCCTTAACCAGTGATTAGAGACTTTGAATGATATGATTCAAAATCATTTGGAATGATATTGGTGTATTCACCACAAATTTTTCTCAGATTCCAGGCTTCTCAGTTCCTCAACTTGGACCGGTATACATACGTATGTGGTTTCACGCTACATTTGACTGACTGATACTCACTAGAGAGAGTGTTAATTTTGTAACAGCTTGGAAATTTTTTTAACAGAAGTAGTTTTGATAACTTATTTACGTTTGAAGAACAAGATGTTATCCACTTATTTTTTTCTAATATTCTAAATTTAATAACATTGTGCCTGGTGTCCATAAATAACCTAATAACTATAGCAAAGTGTGTAGTGATTTACTTACGTTAAATCTTATTCATAATACTTCTTTATATTTCTCCGGTATTTAATATATCCTTTCCCTGTTTGTAATCATTTTTCATACTGTCATTTGACTTAGCTAACCGAACAACTAGTTATACAACACATCTAATATCATGTTTGTCTAGTCGTTAATGTTAAATGAATTTCGACGATTGAGTTACAATACAGTCACTAGTCTAAGTGACTTGACATGGCATGCACTATGTTGTAATTTTAGATGGTTGAAGATAGTCAGCAGAAAACCCTGAATTTAGGTTTAGTACTAATTGCCACTCATCAACAAAGGATACTTGTAATCCTAAGGTGTCTAGTACTCCCTATCAGATTCGAGCTCGCGTCATAGTTTTATACTATACAATTGTTGTATTGAAGCCGCGCTTGACCTCCTTTAGGACTGCGATATTTACACTGATTGATCAACCCATAAACTTATGACTAATCACTTGTAAGGTTACATTTAAAGGGAAAATTCTAGTCAAAAGTCAAACGTGGCTCAAAGTCAATTACAGGAATACAACGTGTCCTTCAACTTCGTTGTTAGTTATATCTTATTGTACATATGTATATCGTCTCATCAATCTCTTATTTTGTAACTTGCCCACAAATTTATTCTGCAAACTATTCATTTTATTTATTATTTTAATTCATAGAGTTTTATCTTGTTCTCAGGTAAGTTTGAAATGATTTTGATTTCACCCCCTCTTCTAAACCTCTTAGTATTTAGTTTTTTCTAAATTGTTTTGAATCCTCAACTTATATATTCTGACCAGTATGGTACACTAGTTTCTTCACTCCATTTTTTAGAATTAATTTTTTAACCAAAATATTTTTATGCCATGAAACTTGAATAAATAAACCCAGCCAACTATGTTATTACAAAGACAATGGAAGATGGCTGGACAATGTCGTAATGTGAATTAAGTTAAAAATATATACACTAATGGATGTCGGCTCAGTGGTTTAGGAGTTAAGTGTCAGCGCGGAGTCGAAGGTCCTGGGTTCGGTTCACACGTGCGGAATCGTGGATGTTCACTTCTAAGGAGTCTTATGGTAGGGCGAAACCACCATCCAGTGCTTTGAGTTTTTTAATGGTGGTCTAATGTTGATCGATTCAATGAAATTCAACAATCTGCATATTCCTATGCTGAAGATTACTTTTGATAGTGACAAAGTGTAATAAAAAATTTGACCGTATGAAACTCAACAATGATAATAACCAAGTTCTGAGTCTCACCTGTTTCTTTTTAAATCAAGGCTTATGGTTCAACCCACGTGAGCAAACTGTAGTAGCCGGAGCTTTGTAATGTATCACTAATGATTGTTTTTCATGGGGTCTTGGTCGAAGGCTAGACTGTTCGACTAAGTCATAGTACCGAACTTCTCTCAATCTAATTTGATTTGAGTCGCTAGGTAGTATTTCTTACCAGCCGTCATATTTTCAGTATGGCTCATAGCCAACTACACGACTATATACCAGTGAAATTAGTCAAGAAAATAAAGTAAAATTTATTTTTGTTTTTGATAGTGATATTCTTTAACGTTATTTTTATGTTTTATTTCATCTACACATTCACACGCATGCGTACCTACTCTATTAGGCTGATTTATGCTTAGAAGCAATCACTGATGCCTGTTCAAGTGATGATCGTAGTCAAAATCTATTAGCATTATGCATTGAAGCTGCTCGAGCACGTTGTACCCTTGGTGAGATAACTGATGCAATGGTTAAAGTATTTGGTCGTCATCAAGCCACTGGCCATATTGTTTCAGGTGCATACAAAAGTCAATTTAGTGCAGATGAGGAATGGAAGCAAGTTATCAATGCTGTCGATGTAAGAGAGAGTTATTATTATTATTAATGGCTTTATTCAATATTATCTTTTTGGTACAATATAGAATTGTTTTGTTTATCTTACTTTTTATGTTTTTAAGTGTGTTTTTGTCCTTTCTTTCTCTCGGTTTTTAATTATTGAAAAATCGGTACTTATGCGAGCAGTATTCTATTTGTTTATCAAAGAGTATTCTATTAAAATTAAATAAACCTATAAAGGATAGTTAATTCTTCGATGACACCATTTCCTGACGTTATAATCATCCAAACCTGTGGATATTATTGAAGGATTACGTGGTTCCTACTTTTCAGAAACTACTTTCCCTACAATCTAATTGTGATCAATAATAGGTTGGTGTTTTTTCTGTAGTTCACATCACGGATTCATATTGATTAGACAACCACTGAATCATGAATAGTTGTTACACCCTAGGATGACACTTATCAGCAGTGCGTGTCCATGACCTTACCTGAAGTCGAACCCGAGACTTTCAGACCTCATAGTTAGTGCTCAGCACACAGACTGTGTATTGATGAAGAGGTATCATAGAAAAGTGATTATAATAAGATAGTTGTTTTGATTCCATTACGATTCACTTGACTGATTTCATTATCTAGTGTGGATTTTAAAAAAATTGGATTTTCAACAGATTAGGAGCTAAATCACTCAGTAAACTGATCCGCCTTAAGTTTCATTGTTGTAATATGGTATTGATTTAGCATATTCTCAATCAGTGCGGACACTTCAATGTTGATTTGTCCTAATTCTGATTTATTTGAGGAATTTCAAATGTTTTGAACGGAGTGTGGTAATTCATAACTTGTTGTAGGATGTAAATAACCTATAGTGAAAATAAATTTTTATGAACTGTGAACTAAGTCAAAACTCTTCAGTAATCATGGAAGGTGGTTAGGATATGTATTACTTATCCCTAACAAAACACCGATCTCGGCATGTGTTGTTTATCGATGTAAGAGTTGAAAGACAGGGTTTATCAAACCAAAACTTGGCATCAGTCCATACAGCTATTTACTGTTAAACTGAGCCGTGTTGGTAGGTGTAGACTATTTTATTGGAATTTTTCTCAGTTATCGTAATCAATGGTTAAAGACATTAGGTGATATATCTCAGAATCGACCACACTAACTTAGATGTATGCACTCTATATTTTCCACTAGATTTTGAATCACAGTATTCCTAATTACGTAGCTTTCCATTATGTTTTATAGAATCAGATTGCCACTGTTTAGTCTGCCTTATTACCACTGCTGCTACAATTATTCTGACTCCTTTAATTTTTACCCTGTTAATTTTATGTGGTCAAGCCAATGTGATACGGTAACTTGTACTAATGCATATTTGCGCGATACTGAACATTGATGATGTCTGACACGCAAACGACTTAACTCAAAGCACTTAGTGCATAAATATGTACTTGACGAATAAGATTACTTGCGTATTAACTAACACCTGTTACCCTTCGTGGAGGAGCATAGGCCAACCACCAGCATTCTCCATACAACTCTGTCTTGGGAAAATCTTTCCAGTTGCTATTCATCACTTTCATGTCTGTTTCCGATTCCAAACACGATCTGTCCCTTGGTCTTCCTCTTTCCCTTTCGCTCCAGGATCCCAAGTTAAAACTTGTCTCGTGATACAGTCTGGTGATTTCCTCAATGTATGTCCTATCCACCTCCAGTGTATTTTCCTAATTTCCCTTTCAGTTGGAAGCCGATTTGTTCTCTCCCACAGGAAGCTGTTTCTGATGGTATCTGGTCAACGGGCATTGAGTATCATTCGAAAACAATGGTTTATAAATACTTGTACATTTTTGATTATGGTTGTGGTATTTCTCGAAATTTCAGCTTCGTACAGTGGAACTGTCTTGATGTTCGTATTGAAGATTCTGACTTTAATGTTGGCTGACAGTATTTCTGGGTTCCATATGCTTTGCGATTGTAGAAATGTTGCCCCCGTGATAAATAAGATACCACCAAATGCCCCGGTACGGCCGAGGGTAGGGAGACTCATCTCTCCCTCCCGAAATGCTCTCACATGACCACGTGTTTACAGTTACTGTCGGGAAATTCCTACTCACGGCGGGGGGTGTTTACGAAATTGAAAGGATGAAAAGCGAATGTCCGGCACTGTAACCAGGTTGATGGATATGGAGGATCCACCCAGAAGAATTGAAAAACCCTGATTCCAAACCGATTCTGCACACGGGCTCCAGGATACTTTGGGAAGAAATGGCGTACGGACCTATTGTTGGTCACCGTCTACCATGGGAATGCATTTCCATACGTTGCTCCACTGTTTTATGGATTAGAACTCTAGGTCAAAGGCTCTGCGTGTGTCCCCCCAAGAAAACTACCTGCTTCGTTTTGAGCGTCCAACTCGTACACAAATCATTCGATCTATGTAACTTATACGTATTTGTTGCCTCTTTGTACTAGTGTTTGTGTGCTTAAATAAACGAGCTACATTTAAAAAAACATATCACAGGACAATCTATACATACTACACAAATACCTTTTTTACATTGTAAAGTACTAAGTTATTTGCAATAATGGCTTACTCATTATATATTATTACTATATTTTCTTGCCTACTACAATTCATAAAATATACTCATATTTCATCTTACACAATAAATATGCTTCATATAGTTTACAAGCAAAGAATCATGAAAAATTAAAGCCCTCAATACACTGTTAATACACTTAATAGTTAAATTATTTGATGAATACTTCGTTCAAACTGTATTAATGAAAAACTAGTCAATGTTTTTAGATAATAAATTAATATATACAAATGAGTAGTGTACGTCTCTTCTTCAGAGAATAATCAAATTAGATTAGTAAAACAATATTTAGTACAATCAAATACAAATGATCTGATCTCACATCCATGACATGTTACTTTTATCAAGATCACTCTGTATGTGATATGATCGTGTGTATTCATTTTAGTTTTAAGAAAAAGTATAATCTATGTAGTATGGAAGAGGTCATTTGAATATTTATATCTTTGTTAGTGATGTAAGATGTGGATAAAATTAAATATGTGGTTATTCGGGTAAATAGTTCGAGTTTGATGGATAGTTATGCCTTCTTTTCTATTGAGCACAATAGAATTTAACATGATATGAAAACGTCAGGAATTTACCTTTTGTTAGTTTGTTAGTTGTTGAATATAGCATGTACTGATATAATTTGGGTTTACTTTGAGGATTCTCAAGTTTTCTAAGATTATTAGATCTTTTTGAGCAGATTAGATGTTCCTTGGCACCAACTGAGATTTCACGAGAAGATACTTCAATATAGAAAAAACATCACAGTCGACATAACTTAATCCATAGACATAATTCTGTGTGGAAGTAAACTGTATCTTATCTTTAGTTCTAACTAGAACGTTTCGTGGTATTGCTTTAATTCTGCACAGTTTTCGAATATTTAGAGGTTCTTGTATTCTTCCATAGCGATCAGATGACATTATAGTGCCAATACATGATATATTATTCGAATTCTTTATCTTTTGAAAGCAGGGCTTTCTGTTTTAATGTCTTTTTAATGATATTCTTAGAAAAGTTATTAAACCGGAACATGTTTTATACTTCTGTTGAATAATACTAACCTGTTTGATTTCTTTTCTGATTGTCTTTTCAAATTAATTCTCTTTTTTAATGTAGACATTTGCACATGCTGAAGGACGTCGACCACGCATCCTTATAGCGAAACTTGGTCAAGATGGACATGATCGTGGTGGCAAAGTAATTGCTACTGGATTCTCTGATTTAGGCTTTGATGTTGATGTCGGTTCATTATTCTCAGTAAGTAGATTTTCTAATAAAAAATATATGACAAATATATTTCTATATTCTCGTATGTTGTCAAGATTCTTGAATTTCAAAGTTTACATCAAGTACTGATCTTAGTTAGACAATCACTAGTCTTTATCAAACCTGGATAACCTCTACCAGAAGAATCCTGGATGTGCGTTTCGTGCTACCTAAGACTCATCAGCTTGATATGTTTGTACTCCACTGTTGATTTATCACCCAATGGATAACCCATTGGCATTTGGAACGAAAAGTACTAACAAGGGCCGAGTCTCATTCTGGATATCAACACTGGGACAAAAGTATATTTTGCTGACAAGTCGATATGCGTCTGTTGTATTCCACTGCTAAGCACTATCTGACGTCACTGAGAAAATCTTACAATTTCAGTTATTCAGAGTCATTATTTTTGGCTATCTCATATGCACTAACAAAGGCAGCTGAATATAACCAGTGTAGCAGCAACCTCTGCATCAGTAGACCTCAACATACACAAGGGAAAAAGCAAGATCTTCAAATACAATACAGAAACCACCATCATAATCCCTCTTGATGGAGAAACTCTCGAAATGGTGGAAACTTTCACGTATCTGGGTAGCATCATCGATGAACGTGGAGGATCCGATGCAAACGTGATTTCGAGGATCGGCAAAGCAAAAGCAACATTCATACAATTGAAGAACATATGGAACTCAAAACAACTGTCTGTTAACCATCATTAAATTCAGAATCTTCAATACAATAGTCAAGAAATTTGTACTGTAGAGAGCTGAAACGTGGAGAACTCCCAGAACTATCATCAAAATAGTACAAGTATTTATAAATAGTTGTCTACGCAAGATACTCAATATCCGTTGGTTGGATGCTATCAGGAATAGCCTTCTGTGGGCGGCCTGCTTGAGCATCTGGGCTACCTGTTCCTGTCATCTAAATATTTCAACAAGTTATCTATTTTTGTTTGTTTTAATATATCATTATGTATATTAATCGCATAACCCATCCTAGTGCATTTCTGAAAAGTTTACAACCTTTCGTTGTCAAAGTTACAAAAAGCTCAATAAGAGATAATGTGGTCGCTGGCAATATGCAGAGAAAAGAATATACATTATTCAGATGTTTATTTACTGGACTGCTAACATCTAACTGGCTATCACTCAATATTTATCGTCAGGATCGACCAAGAAGAAAGAAACGGAAACTTGTTGAAATACTTTGTGCTGAGAATTCTATATTGTACCGAAAATATAATATTGAATAAAGCTTATAATAATAAATAATAAAAATAAACAGATCGGTTTCGAAATGAAGAGGAAATCAGGAAAAGACGTTGGAAGTGGATGGTACATACATTGCGAAAATCACCAAACTGCATCACGAGGTACGCCCTAACTTGGAAACCTGAAAGTAAACGGAAAACAAGAACGTCGAGGAACACACTATATCGGGAATTGGAAACAGACATGAAAAGGATGAATAGCAACTGGAAAGATTTTCCCAAGACAGAGTTGTATGAAGAATGCTGGTGGTTGGACTATGCTCCTTCACCAAGGATAACAGGCGTTAGTTAGCAAGTAAGTAATATTAGATTATGAAAGATTGTGGTTAATTTAAAAGAACTAATAGAATATAATGAATTCATATTATCGTTCAAGTTTAGAGGAAATCTTATTACATTTATCGTTTAATTCATTTTATTTACTAATCGATTAATTTATATTCCCCATAGACTCCAATAGAAGCTGCTCAACAAGCAATTGATGCTGATGTACACGTTGTTGGTGTTAGTTCATTAGCAGCTGGTCATAAAACATTAATTCCAGAATTAATTAAAGAATTACGAAAACTTGGAGGACAGTAAGTTGAAGAAATTAGATGCCTTTTCTTTTTGTCCTCACTTAATTATTATAACTGTTGTATCTTGTGATTTAAATTCGATTCAGTCTATGATCATTGGTATTAATAAATGATCGAAGCTATTCTTATATAATAAAACACAATTCTTTAACAGTAAATCAATGACTATAGAATCCAAAAAATAATAGCAGTGAACGTAAACAGAACTGAAAAATATTCATAGTTATGGTAACCGAAAATGATCATCTTAGGACAGAAAAAAATTAATGAATTGAAAGTGACAAATATCAAACATTATACGAACAATATGAATTAAAGAAATTGTAGCTTTTATTATCATTACTAGAAAGAACCAACAATTATTCAAGAAGCTAAACAACCTTGAATCATCTTAGTAATTACATTAGTCTTTTTTTTCTTGAACCAGTAATACAGATGTTTCAACCCAGTAAACCACCTGATGTTCTAACGTCTATTGGACTATGCATTATTCATCTGTTCCCAAACTTTAATTAGAACACAAGAATAATTAGTCAGTCACTTATATGTAACGTAGAACCTGGTGAATATGCACATCGATTCAAGTTATCATACTACATTCGCAAAGCGAGAAGAACTTGTCACGCCAAATCCCATAGTAGTGGTAGTAGTAATAGTATCAGTGGCTCAGAATCTGGACTTACGCCTGTTACTCCTCGTGAAGGAGCATAGGCCACTCACCAGCATTCTTCATCTAACCCTGTCACGGGCAATCCTTTCCAGATCTTTCCAGTTGTTATTCATTTTTTTCACGTCTGCTTCTATTTCCCGATGTAGTGTGTTCTTTGGCCTTCCTCTTTTCCGCTTCCCTTCAGGATTCCAAGTTAGCGCTTGCCTCGTGATGCAGATTGATGATTTGCGTAATGTATGTCCTATCCATTTCCATCGTCTTTTCCTAATTTCTTCTTCAGCTGCAAGTTGGTTTGTTCTCTCCTACAGAAGGCTGTTGCTGATAGTATCCGGCCAATGGATGTTGAATAACTTGCGTAGATAACCATTTATAAATACTTGTACCTTCTTGATGGTGGTTGTTGTAGTTCTCCACGTTTCAGCTCCGTACAGTAGAACTGTCTTGACGTTGGTATTGAAGACAAAAATTGGATGTATCATTCCGAAAGATTTTGAGTGATAACATTCACAGACTCTAGCCATTGGTTGCGATAACCATGCGGACCTCAACTAGATGATGGTCTACACCTGTTAACACGGCTCAGTTTGACTGTCAATGACTTCATGGAGAGGTGTCATGTTTTGATTTGACTATCCCTTACTTTATTCTAACCTACTCTTACACCAGATACTAACGCCCGTCAAAGTAGTCAATGGTTGCGGATACTTAACACATGCCCGAACAATACCATTTGATAAAGATTTACTACCTCATCAATCGTACTACCATACTTATCTAGTATCCTATCACCAACCCAACCACCCCTTACTCAGTGATCTCAAAATACACGAGACATGATTCGAAAACACATGTGGTCGAATACCAGTAAACTACAAATATCCTCTATTCTCAACAACATGTTTCACACACATGAAATAGGATGGAGTGAAATGCTGCATGGTAAATTGGTCGTTTGATTGGAAAACGGATCTGTCGTCCATGCAACAAGTGATTCGAGTAGATAAAAGTCAATCGATCTTTGTGAATCAGTGTCTAGATTTGATCAGACACCAGACCATCATGTGTTATGAAACTCTGAAGATAAGTGAAGTATTCGATGCACACAACTACTTCACATTCTATCATTAAAGCGGGTGCTGATCCAGGTAAATGTTGAAGCTCAAATTTGCATTTTGAGTGAGAGAATTGTATTCTAAAAATGACTACGTAATCTCTATATCTGTCTGAAAACTTACTTGATTATATGCAGCGCACCATAGTTTAGGAAAACCCAATATATACCCAGCTAGTACATTTGCGCTTCTAAAATTCATCATTTTCACGTATTCATCTTGTCTTAACAACAATATTTGTTTACTTAACTAAAATCAATTTTCCCGTTAATTCTATAGTGATAGGCTTTATATATATATTCTGTCTTATAACTGAAGTGATAAGATGAAACTATGCGAACAAGATTAAAACAACCTACATAGATTCTGAGCCAGTTCCTTAGGCAATCAGAAAATAGCCTTTGTTAATGAATAGTTTATTAGAAGAAAAAAAAACAGTAACATTATAAAGTATGAACAGATTTCACATAATTAATGAATTGATATAAGTCTTCTACACGTTATTTCTTATCTGTAAATTAAAAATGCTATAGAAACATACATTTGTTCACATGGAAAGATCTGTCTTCTAAAATCTTTGTCATAACTCAAAGAGAGACTTAAAAGTTACTATATTGTATTTCATCAGGGTTAGATATTAACGGTAAGTTTTTGGGAGGTTCAAAATTTGAGTTTATCACCACCAGTCAGCATCAAACATAATTCAAAAATATACTCTGTAGCCATATATATGAGTGGATTTTAGACAAAAATTTAATAGGCCTTGTCCGATTGGTTCATACGTAAAATATTTTGCTATCAGATTACTGTTTATTTTGGAACTAAGTCTTTAGGTTCCGATTTATAGATAGTGTTGATTTACCTGTTATATATAGGGAGAATTGAGTATTTATCCTCGTGACAAATAGTAATTCTTCATCATCATTTAAAACGTTCTGAGCACTGCAGAAAGATATTTCTAATGCTTGCTGTCCGTAGGACGGATTTTAGGAATGTTAATATACGTTGGAACTAAGCAGAATTTTGATAGTATGAAAAGTATTCACATGCAGCTACCAATTTGTCGATTTCAGTTATTAAACAAGTGAACTACGATATCTAAATTTCAGCCGAATCTCTGTTTGATTTTGCTTACTGAATGTGTTATACCAGACCATTTAGTGAATAAGAGATACCTCTTCAGTAGGTTAAATGACTGAATCACATTAAAGTATCATAAATGTCAGTTACTCATAAACAAGATGAGACCTGATTCAAATATACAAATAACTCGAATTGCCACAATCAACAGTAGCTCATAGGAAATTGACTAGATGTCGATCATATGAATTCAACTGACAGTTTTAATAGTCAT